TTAGAAGTAATTTATAGCTTTACTTTGACAAATTTATTATGTCCTGTTAGGTTCGTAATTCAGGTCACAATAGAAAGAGCTGAACCTGCCTAAAGTTTATTATGTCCTGTTAGGTTTGTAATTCGGGTCACAATAGAAAGAGCTGAACCTGCCTAAACTTCTGTTTAGGCCAGGTAATACTTTTTTCCTAGGCTGAAGTAATTCTGCAATACAGAAGAACCCTTTTATTCCTGTTTTCAGCTAAAACTTACGACATTTTTGCACTTTTAGGAGCAACTAAGATACATTTGGCTGTAGGGTAAAATTCTTTACATTATCAGTAATGGACTGTGCAGGAGTAGAACTGTCTCTGTCCTCTACCTCTTCAGTACATGAATTAATGGTATTTACTATGAGAAGTGTAAGTGTATTTAAGTGTGAATGGTATTTACTATAAGTGTGAATGAACCATCAGAGTGTGTTTCCAAACATAGCACACCGCTAGAAAAAGTCGCTTTACAAAGCACATTAAAACCATCTTATTTACATCCGCCACCTGCTCGCAATGGTTTCTTGCTTTTCTTTCAGAAATTAAAAAAAAAGGTAATATTAAATTAACTTTGTTCAGCTCCTCAGCAAGGTCAAATAAAGCAGAGCTCATTTAGCACAGTCCTTAGTTCTGACCGCACCAAGAAAAACAAAGAAGAAAAGAAATCAGTATCACAGATTACCTCAGCTGCCAGTGACCAGCACATGAATTGAATTTGTTCATCTGAGAAGAGGATTTGCTACTCCGAGATGAAAATGTTCAGTTTAGAGAAGGATTCGTAACGTTACGACCACTGTCTGACCACATTTTGAGGTTTCTTTTACACAATTAACAGGATCCACACTTATGATCTCCCATTTTAACTTTAAAGAGCTAGATGAGTTTTGAAGCACGAAGAAAACTTCAGCACAAGCAAGAAACAGCGTTTCTGTGTTTCCTGCCTGCAATTCTTTCTTCACCACGGCCCTGGATGTTCGATGGCAACGTCACAGGATTACCTCCAGCAGGATTACTGCAGATTTACACAAACTCTATGTGAGCAGGAGCAGAACTAGGCTCAAAACCTCTTTTGGTTTGGATTTTTTTCTTAAAAGAATCAAAACTGAGTTCTCTTAGAAGCTACTATTTATGTATTCTGAAAATAGAATTCATCTGCCCGTACAGCACAGCAGCTCCAAGAGTTTTGGTTTTAGCTTTCCACCACAAAAGGAAAGAGAAATTGCCCTTAAGAAGAAAACAGACAGGCTTCAAATTGCAGGTGTTCAAATAGCCCAGTGCTAGAAAAGAGTTCGAGTAGTTTGGATTAGTTACAGAAATCCAGGAGACGTTTCTTCTCCAGTTTGTGTGTTTCATTCCAATGTTACAGCAGGGCCAGGCCCTTTCTTCTCAAAAATAAGTGATAAAAATACATACTAGTCGGTGGAATGGGTTTTCCCACCCCACTGAATTCAGAGAATGTACACAAGGATGCTATAACTGCTTTATTTTGCTATGTCAGAGCCCCAGGATCTGTCGACTCTATAACAAGACTTTAAAATACAGTGGTTTTTGGCATGCAGCTGCTTTAATCATAGTGTTTGCTAAACTTCAACCTACATCAAGACCATGTTAATTCTCTTCCTCTCTTTGAGAAGCTGAGATTATCTCACTATCTTAATAAATGGCACTGTTTGAGAAACATAAGCTGTAAGAAAGTCTTGCCTTCATTTCATCGTGTCAGTAAGAAATACTGCACATTAATGACATGGTTCCTTTACGGCCGCCTGCTAAGTGCCCTTCTTCAGAGAGAGCACGGTAAACAGCAGTACAACTTGCTTCTTGATTTTAAAATGCTATTTAGTCTTAGCTTTGTGATTAACTCAGTCTGGTAACAAGCCAGGATTTTGTACCCCGAGGTTCAGAAATGAGCTCCTGCAATCACGACCTGCGTAGCTGGATGTAAAGGGAGGCGATCCCTGACATCCATGGAGCTGAGGTGCTGCATCTTCCTTTCTGCTGCCATAAACACCACCCTGAAAAGTCACAGACTGGGAAAGGCTGAGAGAAAGCACAAACTAATCCATGTACCCCGGTGTAGACCAAATAAAAACAAAGCCATGCTGGTTTCAAAGGAAAGCGCAATGATTTTCGTGTATGGCCCTGCAAAATTCCCCAGGGAACTGTATTGTTGAGCAGTATATGGCTCTGCATTTATTTATCTTACCCGCTAATGATTTCATTGGTGCAGCATATAAAAACAAAAGGTCTTTTAAGCATTACCTGATCTCCTGTTGTAAAATCACCTTACAGGTTTCTAGGATTAGGATTCAGATTTTATCTAGTGAAGGATGTTATGTTTTCTTACCTGTTTCATTTAAGTGTAAGCTTTATCGTTATACGTGTGAGGACAAAAGATGCAATTTCCTTTTAGGAGAGATTAAAATTATGAAACTCTAATACCAGATATGGTGAATTGAAGAAGGCGAAGGAAGACAAACATGTCGCTAAGGGAATCGATTTTACTACAACATCGAGTAAAATATCTAATGTAAACTTTAATCTCTTTCTAGTTAATGACTACATGTCCTCAGTGTAGCAGAATCAGGGTTATGGCTCGTAATTTATTTACAGTTGATAATGACGTGACTGTTATAAAGGTTTATCACTAAGGCAATAAACAAGCTGCTACAGAACAAGAGGTCTGAGATACTTACTTGGTATCCATAGGGTTGATCTTACGAAAGAAATGGTGCATGTTATGGTAAAGCAGGCCCACAATGGTGATCCACGCTGTGAAGAGGAAACAGGGGTTATTCCTCAGAGCAGCGGTTGTAAGCAAGAGGCACTGCTCTCCTGGGCCTGAAACTCTGTGATAATTAAGAGGTTTGGCTTCTGTAGACTTCATAGCTTTGCTTTAGCAGATTTCTGATTACTCTTTTCAGTGAAAAAGTACAAACACCTTGCAGTATGGCACAGGAGACAAATATCTAAAGTAAAATAGAACAACGCCTGCCCTTCTGTACCTGCAAAATAATTGGTTAAAGCAACCAGTTGTCCTTTGTAAATCCCCCACACTGCATAGAAAGGATCCCATGGCAGACCAGAGTCAATGTCTCAATGGTAATCTCAAGGCCACCTTCATTGCCACCTTTATTGACCGGCAGTCTTTGTAACGCAGACGCAGGTTTCCACTTTGCTTGTCTGTTTGCTGCCTGCATCGCAAGTATTTTTGGGTTCTCTAGCATCTGAGTGAAGAGGCAGATGTGCATCTTCCAAGTGTCCCTACCCCTTTTCCTGGGTTCCAAGTATTTACAGTATCAGGAATAATAGGTGGAATAATAAATTGTTAAGTTGGCTCATTTGGACAGTGTGGAGTTGTGGCCTGAAGGCTTAAATTACTCAAAAGCGACCTTTGGCTGGAAAAAATAAATAAAATTAAACATTTAATGGTCTGGATCATTTCAGGATAACAAGCGTGATAATGTTCTGAATTAAAAAAAAAATAAAATCTGCATAGTGAGAGATTTTATAAGTGGGAAAGAAAATAAAGTCCTCTCACAGGGTATTTTTGGCATGAAAAGTTTAATTTCATACAAAATTTCAAGTGCAGTTTTGCATGAAGGGATAAGCAATACCTGACCATAAATCCTGGAATTTCTTAAAATGCCATTCAGATTATTGAAAATAATTTACAAAATTATGGGTTCTCTGATGTACAAAGATGTCTAAATTAAACAGCTTCAGTCTCTGTGGCCCAGCTGCATTATTCAAGATTAGCTCAATTACTATAAGAACTCCAGCACATTAGTCATTCATTAACGTGACAGGAGAACTGCTGCCTCTTCAGAGCCATTACGATCAACAGCAAAACGGTTACTTGGAAATGTAAAGCAAGCCAAAACCTGTTTAAGCAAAGTCACACAAACACGTACCCTCTTTACATGACCCTGCTTTTTCCTTCAATTTTTCCCTTACCTTTTTCATGAAAAGCTTCACTGGGAATGGAAATAAAACTCTGTCCTCGAGAAGGAAATCGATAATGGGACAAATTTAGAGTCTGAGGATGCATTTTGACCAAGGTGTAATCTGTGTGATAACCGAAACAAAGATATGATAAAATCAATAGCCTTTACAACCTACTTGACTATTTAACCAGGCTTCCCTAAGTTATCGCAAATTTGAATTTAAAACCCTAGATGCCTGCAAAAACTATAGTAAATTCCACGAGCATAAAATTATAATCTATACCTGACTCCTTTATGACAGAGAAGGTACCCGCACCGTTAATACACCATGGATCACTTCACTCGTGCTCTAATACTGAGCTTATCAGGGCAAGCAGACCCTTCCATTGGCCTTGGGGGCTCTATCAGACCTGCACTGTTCCGTTCGAGAACACCAGTGTGTTTGAGCACAGGCAGTGAGTAACAGCTCTGGTGGCTGCTCAGGACCCCTCGCACCGGGCTCAAGGCAGAGCAGAATGCCAGGACAGGAAAGTTACCTGTTCTACCTGTAGCATCCAAAGACACTGATGAAATCAGAGTGCTAGGATGCTAAACTGCAGTATAATAAGGTTTTCTTAAAAGGTCAAAGATATTCCTATTATTACTTCTTGCAAAATTAAGATTTTGTAGGATCCAGACATCTGCAACTACGGAGTGAAGCATAAGAGCTCTAGGCCCTTATTTATTACTGGATTCATTTCCTAGATTCACGCTCTAAGCCCCTCTTCAAATAACCTCAAGGAAGTTGAAGTACAGTAGAGCCGATCACCTTTGGTCTACCTGCACAGCCATCTTTCTACAACTAGAGCACTGTTTTGTATTGAAAAAAGAAAATTATCTGGTTTTATTTCCTCCTTCAGGTTGGCAAAGGAGAGAAGTGCTCAGGACACCCGAACAGAACACATCTGATAAACCCTACCTGCCACAGATGATGTGCCCTCAAGACTTAGAGGTAATGAGTTTTCGTCCAGATTCCACGTCATGTGAGCCATCACGTTGTCGATAGTTTGAATTAAACTCCCAAATACGTGAGTGGTCTGGGGAAAGAGGAAAGAAGGCTCTACAACAAGAGAAATTGCACTTCATCGCACCAAATGCCAAGGTGCCACGTTAAATTCCTGTCTGACCCATTATTCAACCAGCCAAAGTCAAATGTGACTTTCTCCACAACCTTTTCCACACACAGCGGATAAAGTGTCACACCAATTGATGCCACCCAGCCTGACCTTATAAAATACTGTGTTTTATGGGATGTCTTGCAATGACTCCCTGCTCTCACCAGCATTTGACACTCAATTATGCTCAGGACTCAGAGGAACAAGGCCAAGAACTGAGCAGATTGTTTTGACAATATATAAGGACTGGTATCACATCTTTATTGGAGCGTAAGAGACATTAGAGCTTGGCCTTTCTTTCATCTTTATTAAAACGTTGCCCAGTAGAAAGCTACTTTCAAAGTGTTTCTATGTCCCCTGGAAAACAGCTCTCCAGGTTGGATCCTGACCCATAAAATCTCAGAGCGAATGCATGTTTCCATGAAAAGGAAATCTATTTTATCTGAAATCTATCAGAGATGATCAAAGATTTTAGGCTAGGAATTTAAATCAGTAAGACAACTTTTTTGTGTTAAAAGCATTTTAGGCTTCAGTGAGACCTTAGATTACTTCAGCCTCTCCTTCTCTCAGTTTGAAAGCTCTGTTCTGAAATCTGTGCTCCCTTAAGAGTCAAAAAAGTCTCAGGAAATTCCTGCATTCCTCTCTCTGCACTCTAAAGGTGGATGTGAAAAGAAGATTGACACAAGTAACTTTTACCTATACTAGGTTAAATCTCTCTCAAAGCTTCAGTTCACTAAACAAATAAGTAATACAACATGTTTCACATGCATTGAAAAACACTGATCTACAGAACAAATACAAACTTTTAAATACCAAAGTTCAGTACTCAAAAACCCCAGAGTGATTAAACATTTTGTTGACCATATGTGGAAATAGCAGCAGATAAAGTTCTCTTATTTTAACCCTCAAAAATAGATTATAAAAGAAAATTGCATATTTTTTTGCCTCTAGATCTCTACTGCAAATATGGAAGTGACATATGAGAAAAGAAATAAGTCATATGGTCAAAAAGTCCTAACAAGAAGAGCAATAGAGGCAACCATTTGCATTACCATCCATGTGAAACCATGCAACCAAAGTGACCTTCAAAGCTAAGCCCATTTGCCTTACCTCTGGTGCATCGATCCAGTTGGGCAACAACAGGAAGTCTTCAATAGCTTTTAAAAAAGCCTAAAAGACAAATAGAAGTATATTATGTGATTATTTATTAATCAGCTACATCTGCTGGTAGGGATCCAAGGCAGATTTCTGATGGGATTGTCTTAGGTTTAAGACGACAAGCCCATTTTCATTCCAGTCACAGTTTCATCTCTACCTGCCCGCACTCTCATCGTGTTCCGTATGGTGACATTTTAAAGTAATGGTTTATGTATTAAAAGTAATACCACTATGAAACACCCAAAATTCAATCATTATACTACAGCTGAGCTGACAGCACCAGAACTAAGACTAAAGTGAACTCATCTCCCATTTAATCTAAACCCATGTCATCAAGACCTCTGTTAGTCTTTGACGACTAGATGTTTCAACAGCGTGAGATAAATACCTGGGTCCCTTGTACAATTTATTATGTGCTTAACTTTTGCACTTAAAGGTTGTTTTTGAGGTCAAGACCTGTCATAGTTGGCACTGCTCAAGTGCTCAGCACGACGCAGTCCCTGTGCTAAGGAGCCTTGTTGATGAAGACAAAGGGGGCACAGCAAGTCACAGAGAAAATTAAAAGGAAAAGAAAAAAACAACAATAAAACAACCTCACAACCTAGAAAAGTTCCACTGAGAAATGTGGAAGAAAGCTGCAAGACTTTTCCAGACTTAATTTTAGAAGCCATAATACATAGGGCAGTACCAGAACTCTGCTATGTGAGCATGCTCCTGGGCACCAGGTACCTCGCAGCCTCCCTCAGACATTCAGTGTGGAATTCTCCCTGGCATGCACAGGAGTTCTCCTAAACCCAGCCCAAATTGCCCCGAGCATTCAGTGAGTCTCTCTCTTTTCAGGTCACTGCACGGCTCCAGAATGAACCCAAAAAGGATGTGTTAGAGCACTGGGAAGGGAGGGCAAGCAGCGGTGCTGGAGCTGCTGAGCAGCGCAGCGTTATAACGGAACACACAAGGCAGATTTGTCAGAAGCAATGCATCATAAATGTGCGCCGGTAATCAGAAAGTTTACTGCATGGCACTAAATCAGATTTTCTGGTGTTATGAGCCACGTGACAATCAGGACAGAGATAACTTTACAGAAAATAGCCCGCGTGCTCGGTGCCTGTCTTTCAGGGAATCAGCTGCAGACAACGCCAAGCCCAGCCATCAATCAGCCAAGTGACAGAGTCTGTACGTGTGATCAGGGTTCTCTTGTGTTTGCTGCCGAAAATAGCTTTGCTAAAGATAATCATGGCCCACATCTCTGCCAGCAAATCACTCCCGGGGCACACAAAGCAGCATCAGACTGTGAATGCACAGTCGAAGCACAACTGAAATGATGTGGGGAGCAGGCACGGTATCTGACAGGATGATAACCCATTTCCAATTTAGGACCCACACAAAATTTTCAGCAAAACAAAGGGAACAATACATTACAGCTTTTTAGAAGGGTCTTTGCTACATATTAAACCGTGATCCATCAAATCCAAGCTTTACAGTTTGCAAATGCTAAGCTTTTAACTATCAATTGCTGCCCATGTGTTTTTCAGAAGCATTTATTTATATTGTTTGTCTGAGTAAATAATCCTTGTCACCCTGGTATTACCCACAGGCTTAAAGGAACAATCAGGAGTGAGGCCAGAGCTGATTACTGTAATAATAGTTTGCTAGACTGCTGAAATCAGGGAATTAGATGCCCATCATTTCACAGAAGGCTAACTTGATGTTCGCAGCACGTGGCTGCTTGTCCTCAGACTGCAGAAAACACCTTCTCAGTTTTCTTTCCTTTGTGGATTAGCCTACACAGAAATAAATTCCTCTGTTAAGCTTTGGAGCTGATCTCTCCACAAGCCAGTTTCAGTGGAGGTTTGTGGTACGTCTACACTGGCTGTAACTGGAACCTGGTGCCAGATAAAGCTGTTAACCCCCAAAAGCTGAGGACACCAGCAGCACCAACAGGTCCTATCCCACAGCAGAGCTGGCAGAGCAGCGTCTGTGCCTCTATCCTTGCACGAGTGAACTCATGACTCTGCAAAAGAGAAGCTGGAGGAGAGGCATAACTCACCCTCTGCTCACTACAGGAGCCATAAACACTAACAAATGGGTTCACGTTTTAACCCTCTAGTGCAGGTGTGAATATCAAAGACAGAAGTTGATTCCTGGGCAGTTACTCAGGGCCAGACTGATACAGGCACAGCTGGAGCACTACCTGCATCTGAGCTAAGTTGCCACCAGCTCATTCTCCTCTAATTACAGTGCCTTTATGTCCTGCACCTGACACACTGCCAAGCTTTGCTGCGTTTTGGATCAGCCGGGCCATGCAGAGAAATGCTGGTTTCATTTTATTTTTTCCCCAGAATTATATATTCTTCATTGGATACAAACGCAGCTGAAAAAAAAATAACACAGCTATTTTCTCCTCCTCTGTTTCCTGCTCACCTAAATAATTGCTTTTGATGTGTGGTCATGGTTCCCGGAATTTATAATTTATGCTTTACATAATATCCCCAAGAACTAATGAGACCCTTAAAAACTGGTTGAAGCTCACCTTCTGCTACTCCCTAAAACAGCTACTGCTTTTGTGTATGATGTATTTTCTGCAACCAGCAAAAGCTTTCAAAGCCGCATTTGCTATTCACAGAATCACAGAAAATGAGGAGTTGGAAGGGCCCTGGAAAGCTCCCCCAGTGCAACCCCTGCCAGAGCAGGATCACCAGAGCAGTCACACAGGAACACGGCCAGGGCTTTGGGTGTCTCCACACAAGGAGACTCCACAACCTCTCTGGGCAGCCTGGGCCATGCTCCATAACCCTCACACTCACAAAGTTTGGCCTCATCTTCAGCTTGAACCTCCTGTGCTCCAGCTTGGGACCATTGCCCCTTGTCCTGGCATTGGCCATCCCAGAGCAGAGCCTGGCTCCTTCCTCCTGACACTGCCCTTTCCCAATGGATCCCCAGGAATGAGGGCACCCCTCAGTCTCCTCTGCTCCAAGCTCAAGAGCCCCAGCTCCCTCAGCAGGAGATGCTCCACTCCCTCCAGCATCTTTGTGGCTCTGCCATCTTCTAGGGAAATTTCAGAGTCATTTGGCTTTGCACACAGAAGTGGAAGGCACTTACCTCTGTCAGGCTGTGAGCTGTGCTTTCCGACAGGGATTTGTTGGGCAAGCTGCAGGACACATTCTCCAGGTACCCCAGCATGGTGTCAGGGGAGAGGAAGCTCCCCCTCTCCTCAGTCAGGTGAGTTATGATGGGGTGATAGGCATTTGTAGAGAGCTACAGGGGACAGATGCAACCCATCAGAAATTATCCCACGTGGCAGTCATTATTTGCTTTTTTAGCCCCAAATCGTGTTTGAGGCATAGCAGGCTGCTGTGGTTGCACACAGGGGGCTACCTCAGCCAAGGGAAGTGGAAAGCACACAGATAGATGGGATAAACAGGATTTGCAGGCGCATTTCTTTATTAGCAATTCAGGTCCTGCCTGCCATGGGTTTCTGAAAGCCGCTGTGAACAAGAGGGAAACCAACAGAACTTTGACACTGCAGATGGCAAGAACAGCTAATTGCACGTAGCTGATTACAGTTAATTGCATGTGTTCCGCACATGAAAAACAACATCTAAACCTTTTTTCATTAAGCATTTTACTAAAGAGATGAAAACTAATTTGTGGGAAGTTTGTTTTAATTTTACAGGAAAGAAAAAAAGAGGTAAAAATTAACAGAATGTTTTTGAATGTTCTGTATCTTCGTGGTCATTGAAATAGTTGAGAAGTTTCTACAATTTTTACTTTTTAATATAGAGAATATTTCTATTTAACGATGAATTTCCTTTATCTTTCCTTCAGCCATTGTTCTGTAGTACTCCCATCTTGCCATAGATACAAATCCTCCCTATGCATACCTGAAAACCTTTTTAACTGGGGTGCTAAGTGCCACTAAAGGCAATCATAGGGTGAGGAGGAGAGCTCTGTCACACATGCACATGCTGACATTATGGGGAAGAATGAGGACCGTCCTACCACAGGTTTTGCAGTGGTTGTCATCACAGCCCATGGCGGTGTTGGAGAAAGCAAAACTTGCATACCTGGGGAAAACACACACATGAAAGTGTTAACAAACGTGAGATTCCCACTGCGGGCTGAGTTTGTTCCAGCTGAAGGGAACAATTTTGCCTTTTGTGCAATTTATTTATTTGCAGCACTGTAGCTGCGCAGGCTTCTTTAAATCATCTCATTTACTGATTCATCACTTTTATTTCATCATCTTTATACAGATGAGCCTTGCGACTTAGTCTGTATTTAACACTTAAAATTAAACCTTCATTTGCAAACAGGAAACTTCAAGCGTTACATCTTAATAAAAATTGTACAGCTAAAACATTGACATCCATCTGCCTTCTCTAGCTCTTCCCCCAACGTTTATGTGAGGTATTTAGTGAAAATTGGAAAAAAATTCTAGATTTTATCAGAAATAAACAATAATCTGTAAGCACTTCTGAAAATGCCATAAATGACTTTGCTGTATTTCTGTATATGTGATAAACTGGGGCTGGGAACACACAGACCAGAATAAATGAGGCTCAGGTCTCAGCTGTGAACTCCAAATGCTGGTGCTTGCTTAAATCTTGGGACTAAATTGCTGGAGTGCCAAATAAAATCACACCCACGAAGACAAGGCCAGAGAGACTTTTTCACATTAAAATAAAACCCTGTAAGAAACATTCAAAGCCAATCGTAACACTTTTGTTGCTTGCAGCAAAACCAAGGCACCCCCAAAGAAAAGAGCATTGGCAGAAATGCTGGGGTGCTAAAGTTTTAGGGACACGTTGGTTTGTATAAAACAAATACCAGGGGTCAAGGAGCCAAAACGCCACCTTCATGAGTAGTCTGAGCATATTATGGATAACGCCTCTCTTAGGTGTTCATAAGCTGATTTCAAGCAACATGAAGGTTTCTGTTCATCAGATGCTTTACTAAGGGTCACCCACTGGTGCTCTATCCATTGAAAATTACCATATGAGCATATCAGAAATGATTTCTCAAGCCAGAACAGATAAACTGGATTTCGGATGGTTTCCAGTTACTCCGTTTTAAAAAAATACTGTTTCCTTCCTGTGCAAATGGATTTATCTGTCATTTGTGATAGAGAAATGAAATTTTCTTCTAATCTGTGTCTGTCCAAGGATTTCTATTTGCCAGGAGCGTGGTATTTCAGCACAACCAAATGGTAGTTACATACACAGGACACGTTTTTCTCACGCACCCAAAAGGAACATAATTATCCATTCTGTTATCCAGGCTGTGCCATTAAGTTCTTATGTCAAACCACATTAGCCCGGCTCCAACCCTGCTTTAAGGCTTCCAGAATCAATACATAGATACCAAGAATAACTTTTACTCTATTGATTATTTACTGTGTTGATTACTACTGCAATATCCGTTGCTTCCTCTGAGAAAGTTGTAACTCCATCCGTCAAACTGGAAATTTTACTAAATCTGATCAGTCCACCAGTTTGCAGGACAAAGCAAAAAATCCAGTATTCCTCATTTCTCAAGTGCTCCAAATCACCAACCACAAACCAGTATTGGCTTGAAATTCTTCACACTTCCAGAAGAATATATATATACCAGGCATATCTTTACATTGTAGTTCCTAAGGAAATACACATCAGGCTTCACGTTAAGTTAAGTGGCTAGAAATTTGGTTTTTTTACAGAAAATTGATACAAATTTAGACTGGAGCAAAAACTGAGGGCCCGACTCTTCCTGCAGTGTTTCCAAAGCTACCTACAACCATTAGTGCAGAACTTCTGCGCCCCAATAACGCTCTTTCCACACAAAAATAGAGAGGAAAGTAGAGACTTAAGTCCTGAACACGTTTTGCATTCGTGGGAAGGGTTTTCCATGTTGCCTTGATTATTTGCTAGAGTGAGGAATTCAAGGAGTTAAAAATGTATTTTAAATAAAGAGCGCTCTTTGTATTTATCCAAGTCATATTTCTCTGACAGCGAAACAGGGCACACATATGGATGGATCAGGTCAGTTTGAAAGATTGCCTGCTCTTGGGTTTAGCAACATAACGTTCTTCTTGGGGTACAGTAAATCAAGACCGTGATTTATGGCAGCTCTGAGTTGGACAGTGTTATAGTAACCTTAAGTGTTGTGAAAGACACAGCAGCCAAACACAAAAGCATTTTTTCCAACGTGACCAGAACATTATAAATTAATAAAACATTTTTTAAAGATTTTTTTAAACCATTTCCTGTATCAAATTAATACTCTCCCCATCAGAATATTTGAAAACTTCCACTTTTTAAAATAAAAAGGTTTTAAAATAAAAACTTGAGCGCAATTGCTATTATCTGTGTGGCAAAGCAAACAGGTTGCTTCATTATATATCAGACAGAGCTTTTTCTTTCTCAGTTACTTCAGTTCCCCATAAACCAGTTCATGTTTTCTTTTTGCTAAAATATATTTTGTGAATATTCGATGGCTACCATCACACCTGGAAGTCCCAAACACCCACACTGTCATTTCCAGGCGTGCATCAGCACAAGCTCTGTGGTTAAGGAGTTTCCGCTGTGAAAAGGTTTCCCATGGGTTTAACAGCACAAGGATGATGGGTGTAACTGCTTTAGCTCGCAGAAACCCAGTCAGAATAAACGAGAGCAGGAAAACTGCCAGGGAAGCCAAATGTTCCAGATGTCCCATAGCTTTATTCCCAAGCTGGATGTTTCCTAATTGCTACTCGCACACAACACTTCATAGCAATGGCCTTTCTTGTAGGGAAAAACTGATTCTAAAGATCCCTAGGACAACTGACAGGGTTCACTGGACAGCTTTTAGTCTTCGTTCTAATCCTGATTCTTTCCTATTCCATTTCAGCTGGTATCTTTCTTTTCAGTTCACAAGCATCCATGAGTTCATAAGTCTTTATCATTCCAGGAACTGGAGAGATAACCATTAATAACCACATCTGCCTGAACACAGAGTGACTTAGCTCTGAGTTACACAACAACCAGAGTGCAAGTTAGAATTTCAGAGTCAGTCTTTCCTAATGCTGTTCAGCCTCAGGTCTAACTATTGCTGCCCTTCTCTTAACCCTAGGGAATCCATACCTCAGGTCTGGGCATTTTTTAATTACATTTTTAAGGAGCTAGAATCCAGAATGAAATGACTGCACAGCCAAAGACAGCCAAGTGTTTTGGTGACATTCACACCTGACTTTTTCCGCCTCTAAAAACTACATTCAACAGCTGAAAGATGTAAAATGAACACATATCCTACACACTAAATATTTTCCAGTCAGCATCTTTACAGAAGATGAATGATGACAACAGCACAAATACTCACCAATAGCAGCTGTAAAGTACTGCTCAACTTCTTTGGGGGTGAGTGCCCGCTCCCATATGATGAACTCATCAAACGCCCCGTTCACATAGCGCTTGCTCTGATCCCCCTCCGTCCCACTCAGTTGATTTGCACTGGGGTCTCCGTAATCGTAGTAAACTTTCCCGTCCGGATCAGTGGTTTTGAGAGTCCCATTGACGTAGACTTTCAGTCCCTCTCTTGATTTCCAAGTAAAGAGGATATGAGTCCAATAAGGACCTGTAAAACATTAAAAGTCACAGGAAAATCCATGAATCAATTCCATTTAGAGTCTTGCCTGTTCAGTGAGATTTTGCTGACTCGAGCAATGCCACAGAGCTGTACAGGAAGGGCTAAGAGTGAATTATGGGGTGCTGATGTCTTGTACATTAATCTTGATACCCATGGGGAAGCCCATACTTTGGCAGAAAGCCTGGTAGCTTTTGTCTGAACTCTAGCTTGGGCTCGCTGCAGTTTCATAAATTACACTTGCCAAGTGTTATTGGCCAAGGTTTGAAGTCTCTTCGATACTGCCTCAAAATTCAGTTCAGCAGAAAAAAAAAAGAACAAGCAGATAGACTAATTAATAGTTGCCATTTCCTCAGTTATACTTGAGAAAACATAATTATTTACTGAAAACATAATATTAATTTTCACTTGGAGTGGATAATCCACAGATGTGTGAATTGTTACCATTTAGCAGCTTTTCTCTTAAAACAAGATTCCTAAGCTCATTTATTAAGCTTTATAAAACTCTGCTACTATGAGGTGGAAAAGTCCCATTTTACCAATATACAGGTAGACCAATTAAAGCAAGAAAAGATTCAGTGACGGTCACTGGCATTACTGGAAGGCCAGGATTTGCTCCAGTCTCTAGGTAACATGGCTCTATAAGAATATACAGTTTAGACAGAAGCAGTAAGATATGTGATGCACCAGACTGTTTATTAATACAAAGCCATGGCATGCAAAACTTGACACTCAACAGATAAGAAAATGATCAAAGCACTGAGCACCCAGTTAGACAGTTACCAAATAAAGTCTTAATTTAGGAGGCAGTAGAGGACAGCACACACATCCACTTCTAGAATACACTAAGAACTGCCAGGGATTAACCTACATTCATCCCTCACATTTCCATCTGACCACTCATTAATCTCTTGATGCCAATGAGAATTCCTCTTCAGAAACAACTGGAAGTTTGGTCTGAGGACTGTTACCAAAGGGCAAATGTCTTCTATAAAATATCACTGCTTTTCCAGTTTGTACCTCATTTCTCTCTCCTCACACCTAGAGAATTCTTAAGCACGGAGCTATGTAGCTATTTTGATATATCCACATCTCTTCCCTGAAGCTGTACTCTTACCACTACATCTCTCTGCAAGAAGAAAGTAAAATCTAACAAAGAAATGACCAAAAAATATATATAAAGTCTACCTGGCGGACTAAAGCTTGCTTTCCACTTCATCATTGCATTCCCACGGGTGTAGAATTCCACTGAGCCTTCCCCTTCATTGGAACAGATCTTGAAACCACTGGAGATCACTTGTCCACCAGAAGCAGGGAGAAACTTTGCCTGCTCGTCTTGAGTCTTCCAGAAAAAGGAAAATGTTACCCCTGGTGAAAGCAAGCGAGAGATTTTTAATGAACAACCTGAGTGCTATCAAAATTTTCCAGTCACGTAGAATACCAGGAGTAGGATTGCTTTTGAGAACAGACCATGTGCTGGTATAAGCAAGGCCAGTGTTCTAAAAATCAGCAATGTTCTAGCAGTTTAACCCAAATAAACAACTCTTCCTTGGTTTCACACCACATGCACGTACCCAGGACACAGCAGTAATTACAGAAGCTGCTTGGAAAGCGATAAAACCAAAGTTCTTTGAGCATCAAAAGTACTGAAGTCTCTTTTTCTTACAGATTTATGCTTCCCTTTGCCTCGTCTCTGCAGTCTCCTTGCCCCTCTCACCCTCCTGTGATGATCCCCTTTTCCTCCTGTGCCCTTCACTCATTTGAGAACACAATTTGCTCTCATATCTCAACATCCTCCGCCATCATCTACATCTTTTTGTGATGTTCACCAAATGCCAGCAGAGCAGAAACAGTCTGCCCGTGCTTCTTGAGTAGCATCCATTGCTAATTACACTTTAATTCTTCTATTACCTGTGTTTTCACACTTCAGTGCTCCAGGAATTGCTGAAAGCAAAGAACCAATGTAAATGAAGTGGATAGAAATGCATGCGGATCCAGTAAAAATTCTGAGGTCCCCATCTACCCAAAAATGAAAGATTTCTTTCCAAAAGACAAGCGCACGTGTGATTAACTCTGTCCACAAATAATCCTGATCAATTCACAGTAAATTTTACTGTTCTGCTGTAAAATTAGTGAAGAAATCTGCTGTCTGTAAGATGGCTCGTTTCTTTAGGAAAGGTTGCCTCCAAAGGCTTGGCTGAAACACAAGCAGCAAATCAAACCTCCCTCACACTTCCCAAGCTCACAGCGGCTCTGCTGTAGAGGTTCTGCCGTCAAATGCAATTACAAAGAAAATGGCTCGACTAAACAGCTCCTAAAAACGTTCATCTCAGAATTTATCATATAATATAAAGTGCTAACAATAAAAATCAGAGTTCAGAGCAGGTTGAGAAAAACTTTATGAAGTACAGAAGTGGCAGAGGTTTTGCCACAAAGAACCATCGTGAATTAAGTCAGCAACCCTAATCTAAACTGCCTGCTCAAAGCAGGGCCGATTTCAGAGCTAGACCTGGTTGCTCAGAGCTCAGCTGGGATTTTACTGTCACCATGGATGCAGATTGCACAGCCTTTCTGCACGCACCATCCTGACGCTTGCCCACCCGCATTGCACAGTTTTCCTTCCACCTAATCATCATTTGCTGCGCTACAACGTGCCTGTGTTGCCTGTCACGTTTCTATTGTGCATCTCCAAGGTTGCTGAGCTCCATCTGCTCCTATAACCACCCATGAGGCAGTTGAAGGGGTTGAAGGCAGCCCTTTGCGTTCTCTTTTCTTCATGGTGCCAGGTAAAGCCTCTCCTCCCATGTCATCTTGTGCAGCCCTTTGAGTCGTCTGCTGGCCTGGCAGCATCGCTTTTGTATCAGGGGACAAAAATGGGACATCGCACCTCAAATACACTCCCGAGAGCACCAAATACAGGGGAATTATCACTTCCCTTACCCTGCTGACTGTGCTCTTCAGACACGTAGTCAAAATATCTGTACAGATAATTTCAGAGTTAGCGGTTCTGCAGACCCCCCAAGCACAATGGACTTTGCCAATTTGCAACCAGATAATCCAGCTCGAGCTAATGAAACTCCCAAACTATTACATGCATTTCTTGTTAAAACCATAGATTTTTGTTATGTTTCTTAATTTTATGATTAAAGATGGAAAAGCCTCAGACAGCTCACTCCAGCCATCAGAAATATTCCTCCCCGCTACTCCATGGAACATATTTTTCTTATATATATATTCCACATATTCTTTTTGTCACGTTAACGTAGCAGAAAAGTTAAAACTTACATTATTGCACAATAAATAATTTAACTCTGTAGTGTTTTCCTGTCTAACTGCTCATCCTGTTTATCCTCACGACAGCACTCATCAGTCTGGATATCTCCACACCATTCCCTAAATGCTCCATACATGATAGAATAACCAGCATGCAAATGCTCATCAATTACTGGCCTCCCAGAAATCAATCAGCATATGATCAGCATCATTCATAGTTTACTAGATCTTGACTTACGTGTGCTTAAAGCTACCGACGCCGTCAACTCCCAACTGAAAGTTTACCAAAATTGAAAACTGAAGTCAGGTATACAAATATAAAATATAAGATGCTATGTTTTGCATAAGGCTGCTATTTTATTTTATTTTATTCTATTTTATTCTATTTTATTTTATTTCATTTCATTTCATTTCATTTTCAACTTCAGATGTGTTGACGAGATCCAATTTCCTGTGTTCAAACTAATGATGAAGTGAACATTCTCTTGCATCTTTCACAGATGGGTGTTTTTTTGGCTGAAAAGGCCATTTTAATGAGCTCGAAGCTTCTAACAGAAAACCATTTTTTTTTAACAAATACTTGAGAAAAAAAAGGGTGAGGGAAGAACGTTTCAACATTTAAAAAACAAGGAGAATTTGTTTTCACAAGTCAAAATAACAGCTCTGCAATGTTATTAAATTTAGGCTGGGATTTGTGTTTCATAGGTTGTGATATTTCATCTGAAAAGATTCCAAGATTATTTTAGAAAGCACCAGCACTTCACACCAGTTTCACAATGCAACCTACACATATCAAGGATGTTTAAGCAATAATAGGCTTGAACAAAGCCACATTTTATCTTTGCCACAGCTTTTATTTGATTTGAAGAAAAACAAAGACACTCTCTTTAGATAAAGGGCTGTTGGGTTTTCTCCCTTTTCTATTTTCCAATACCTGCTCCAGTGATTTAGTATTTATTGTTTCTATGATTTCTTCTCTTCACATTTTCTCTGCTGAACATTTCAGTGTTTTATGTTTTTAATGTTCTTGTTTGCGAGATACTGGGAGTGCTCTGGTATAATAAAAATAATTTATTCTGATTATAATGTTATACTATAGACATAGAAATAATATGACTTACTGATGATTTTTATTTCCCAGTGGTATGAATAAAAAAAGTATGAAAATATATAGGATGTATCAGAAAACATGCCCACAGTAGGACACTGAATTACTTCTTCCAATACCCTCAGGTAACAGCCGTGTACCATCTGCTGTCCGAGTTTCTCCTACTTTCTTAAGAAGTGAATACACGTCTCTTGCTACAGCAGCTCAAAAAAAAATCCTATTTCAAGTAACATTACCCATTTGAAGAAAGACCTAAATTAAAAAAAATAATTAAAAAACCCCAAACCAAGAAAAGTCAATGTTAACAACACTGCTTATGCTTAGGAACTGCCAATGTTTATGTAAAGAAAGTCATTATTTGCCAGTGGTCCTCCCATTCCTCCTGAATTTCCCACTGGTCCTCCCATTTCTCCTGAATTTCCCATTGCTCCTCCCATTCCTCCTGAACTGTAACTCTCTGGTGAATGTTATATGCTAGTGACCAGTCGTATGTTTGGTTTGACAGATAAATGCAGCTTTAAACACCTTCTCTGTAATCATGTTGTCAAACCTGTGCCCACTATTCCACCCATCGTTTTTTGACCCAAGCTCAAGAAGAACGAGAAGAGAAATAAAATGAAGAGATTTAAGTATCTACAAGGACAAATGGATTTCAGGACATAATAGACTTAGAAATTTCATTATTTCCAAAGATTTAAAAAAAAAAAAACAAACAACAAAAAGACCGAAAAAAACCCCAAATCATTCCTGCAAAGGGGCCACATTGAAAAAATGGCTCCTAAATACCTCAGTTCTTGTAGGAATTACAGATGTTGGTGCCACAGGCAAGATTTTGGGCACTGTAAACTCTCTTCTGTTTTTGTTTGAATTAATTATACCGTAGATCATTGATCTGAGCACTTGGTGATTAGTTCCAATTTAAATTGCAGTTAGAGAAGAATAAATTTTCAGCAATCAGCGCTCCATTGTTTAAAAAGTCAATAAAGAAAAGTATCAAGCCACAATTTTAGAGAGTTCATTGCAACGAGGAAAGAAACAATGATTACTGAATTACACATCTGACAGCAAAAGAAAAGCAAACAGTAATTAATGAATTTACTAACCTTCGGGTCCACAAACTTCTGGATTACTAATGCAAGAATTCTGATAGTTTCCAAAGAAGTGAAAGGTAACTCCTTTGTTTTCAGTGACATAAATCCCCTTGTTCACCATTCCTTCTACAATGTCTAAAGGAAATGCAAAGTAGAATTTAACTTTTATACAAGTCAAAACTTCCTGGAACATAACTATAACAGACTCATACACCTCATATGTGTATCTTATCCCAACCTTAGGTTTGCTTGTGTTGCTTTTTGTTGGGTTCTGTTTTACTTTGGTGGGGATTTATTGGGTTTTTGTTTGTTTTAAAAAAAAACCCATAGAGCTAAATCTTTCAGGTTTGTAAAATTATATCCATGGCTCAGACTCTTGCTTAGCTAAGACTGCCTGACAGAACCCACACACCTCAAAATTGTTATTTCCAAGTGATCCCAGTAAACACTGTGCTTTCCAGAGCTCTGAGTATCAGCCACATCAAAGAGGTATTTCTATATTAATGTCAGGAATTCTTTAATACATCAAAAATGTAACAGAACAGGATTTTTCATTTTTTGAAATGTGAGCAAAACCCACTTTTCATAAAAAAAATGATTCAATAAAATATACTTGACAGGCTATATTCAAAAGGCAGAAATTCATATCCTTGGCATCATCGTCCTTTTCGTCTATTTCCTTGTCTAACATGGATAATGACCGATTGTCTTGTGGTTTGATGGCGATGTTCTCACGTTTCCTCCTAAAGAAAAGCTCTGTGGCTTCATCCCCTGCTAGAGCACACGAGCCTTCTTAGCACTGCACACATACTAGCTGTTTACTACAGGAAACCTCACCAAGGCTGAAGACAGCACATTCCTTGTATGCAATGGGGCATGGGCAAAGAAGTGTCTCCTTTTCAAACTGCAGACAACCCCAGGGCATGAGGAGAGCAGTCAGCACTGGCCCATCTGCAGAATAACAGCCCAGCAACAGCACGGCACAGCTGGCAGCGAACGCATGTCCAAATATTCTCTTGGTTCATTCAACACAGATACCTGCTTTCGGGTATCTTTCACTCCTTTGAGGAAGAAGTCATCAAGTTCTGTCTCTAATTGACAGATAGGATTGAGTTTCTTTACAAAATTTAAGTGTATGATGGAGTGAAGCAAACATTTCTAAGTTCTTCATGAGTCACTTGAATTCTAAGTTCAGCTAGCCAGATTAAATCCCATAAGGTAATGCATTTCTGTTTCCATAGCACTTCCTTTGCCATTGATGTCACTCTTTTAATGTTCATATTCAAGATATCTTATTATGTGAGAACTATGCAAATGGTCTGTAAAGCAGATAAGTGAGGACTGAAAGGAATTAGGGTCATTTGAAGTTCATTATTAACAGAGTTCACATTTGCCAGCATACTTTTACTGTTAGAGAATAGAAAAATAATAGGTTTAGTATTCTAATATAACCCTGCTAGTATCTGAGCAGCAAGAAAAGACAGTTCTACTATCGCCATCCTTGTCCTTAGGTCAGATTTTTCAACAACTAGATGTGAGTTAAGTAAAGTGGAGGCCGTATCTCAATTGCACCTACACAAGAATAAAACCTAGCAACTTCGATTAAGTGACTTGAAGCTTATGCTGGTGTAGACATAACGAGTTTCCAATCTGTCAAGCTTCTGTCTGGAGAGTTGTCTTTTTATGTTCTTCCTTTTATCTCCTAGTGTGTTGAGATATATGTGTGTGTGTACGTATATCTATATATATTATTAAAAGTGTATATATATGCTGATTGTGCTTGCCTTTAAAAATAAAAAAAATGTTATTCAAAGATGTCATGATTGACAAGATCTCACTTCCACGCTTTGCAAATTTGCTTGCATTCATCTTTCTTAATGTGTCCTTCAAAAATGACTATGAAATGGTGAAAAACAGATGGCTTTTTTCCCTTTAACCTTGAAAGATAAGAGAAAAAAAAAAGCCTATTCACTCTTATCTGTTCCTCTGATAAATCATCTCCATTTCTTTTAAGCTTAATACAAATATCTTTGGGTTTGAAGGACTGCTGGGGTCTATCCTCTATCCTTAGCATGGGGATGCCTCTCACCATAGTACTGAGTAATTGAGGTAACATTGCAGGAGTGCTTTTTCAATAGCAAATGCCAACGTAAGCATGAACAGACCTTTACCACATGAACCAAAACTCAGAGCTCACTTGGAATCCAACGTTACAAGTACCAGCCAAGCCTGACAAATGCAGAGCAAAAAAAAATAAGTAAATCCTCACCTACAGTTGCAGAGAAGTTAGAGTAGGCAGAGTCATTGGTATATACAAAGGTAGAGTTATGGGAAGGAAGCACAGTGAAGTTGTGGATTCTTAGAGCTGGGTGGAACAACAAAAGAAAATAAGCAAATAAGCAAAACAATGAATAAACACAATCAGTAATGAATCGACCAGTCCATATCTCTCAACATCACAGAAGGTGTTGGTCTGTGGCCTTTAAAATTATCATACAACCACTCCTCTCAAGGACTTGTACGCATTTGAAAGTTGCGATCTTTAACTATACAAGTAAATGCAGTCTATTTAAAACAATAATTTTCCTTATAATATATAAGGAGAAAAAACACAACTGCAGGTGAAGGGCTCTGAAATATAACCATATTGGCAAGGGAATCTGCAATTACAACAAAAATCATCATACTGCTGCAAAAGGCATGGGCAATTCAAGTGCCATGTCTAGTTCTGGGCTCCCCAGTATAAAAGATACCTGGACATACTGGAGCAAGGCCAGCAAAAGGCTAAGAGTGCTGGGACTGCTCAGGCTGGAGAGGAGAGAGCTCAGGGGTCCTATCAATGTGTGAAGCACCCAACGGGAGGTGTAGAGACAGCACCAGACTCCCCTTATTTGTATCACTGAGCAGATCAGAGGCCATGGGCACAAATTAAAATACAAGAAATTCCATCTGAACATAAGAGAAAACCACAACTGGTTTATATCTCATAATAAATATCTTATTCTCTAATTTTTTCTCATATTTTGTTAATTTAACTGTCTCTTGCACACTGTAATTATTTACCCTAGGCAGGTAAATAGAGCTTGATGGAAAGCCCGTGAAAGCAAATAGAAACATATTGATTTGGGATTTAGACCAGCTGAGCTCATGGAAGGGAAAGGCAAATGCTCCCAATAAAAAATATGCACACGTAAACCTCAAGAGAAAAATGTATGGAAAACAAGAGGTCCGATGAAAAACCTGAATGTGGCCACATATATTTTATTTGCTATATTTTAAGTTGACTGTTTCCCTTCAATTGCTTCCACTGCTGAGATAACCAGAAAAATTCATTTGCTGACACTGTCTCTCACAACACAAACACATTGAGAGATATAAATCTGGCTTCACACACAATGGCTTCAACAAATAAAATGGATTAACGTGACGGACAGATTATGATGCTTCAAGGCTCGAAGAGGAGAAACGTGGAATGAAAACAATCGCATGATACGATGGGTGGAAAACCAAGAAGGACTCCAGCAATAAACAGAAGAGTTGTGTAATCAGAATGGTATCAAAAACAAGCACATTGTCACCTGCATTAGATTACAACAGTAAAGACAACTTTCCATGTGTATCAAAGTCAGATATCAGGCAGATACATAAACCTTCTGCTGGAGGCAGCTGAAATAATATCTGTATTATAAGACAATATAGGCAACTGAGAAGAATTTGAACTACCTGCTACAGCATTAAGAATTCAGCACTGTCAGGATTGCGCTGCAGGAAAGGACGCTTTTGGCTACCGGCATCCTCTGCAAATAACAGCGAGACAAAGCCCTCCCTGCTTCCTCAGCAAAGTCAGGCAGCTGGCTCAATGATCAAGTTATTTAACACCATGTCATAGTGGGATGTAAAGGAGAGTGCTCATGAGAGCCAGCCCTATGCCTGTAAGTGAAGGTTTGTCAGATTAAGAACTTTATTTTGTGTCTTCCGAGACACTGAAGAAAAGATCTCTGAATTTTGCTGAAATAATGCAATTTTATGTAATTTGAAAAACAATCTAAACAATTGTCATTTTCCCAAGAGCTGTATTTTATATATTGCTTTCAAGCACTTTCAAAACACCACGTTCTTAACACGAGTGCCAAAACAGTGCCAGATATGGAGTGGTTCACTCTTCTTGAAACTAGGTGAAGCCCAGTGACAGAAAATCACTTTAACACAGCGTTAGAGAACTTATATGGTAACTTCTCCTAAGCCAAATGTATGATTATATTGAAGTCAATGGGAATGCTGCCATCAGCCTCTAATGGGAGCAGAATATTGCCCAGATTTATTCCTGGTCAGCCCATTTCATTCCTTTCAGAAACTTTGTGTAAAAACAGGTCAAAGATTGGGCTTAAAATACTCGAACACCTCTGGAATAAAGTGGTTTTGATATTTATCGATCTTCTTCCCACGTTGGAACAGAGATTGATGCTGCTGGTTTTGTGTAATACATAGCAATAACTTTGCACTTCTGTGAAGTTTTTAACGTAAGGTTGTAAAGGTCTCCAACTCTTGATTTCATCTGCAGTGACCTTTCTGGGTAAAGATGTCCCAGTCACCAGCAGCACCAGAGCAGCCACCCCTTGCACTGGTACAAGACTTTTGAGCTCAAATGCCAAGGTGGTCGGCATCAGCTTGAGAAACACCGAGAATGTGCAATTTGGAGTTGGCCAAAGCGTCAGAGAAGAACCAGTTCCCGTGACAATCACTAAGGGACCTTTGGGTCTCGGAGGAGCAAAGCATCGTTGAAGATTTAATGGGAAACGAAGGGCCCTGCAAGGCGATGCTGCGGTGATGGGACAGCGCGGTTTGGTCAAAGCTCCACTAATGACACCACCTGCATGTCCCCAAAAAGCCTCCACCACCATGTTTGGTTCTGTTTTGAAACATCAGAACCAGAAAACTGCCGAATCCAGCCAGACTGCATTGAACATCATTCCCTCTGGGATGCTGCAGTCCTGACAACTGGCTCTTCAAATCAATGACAGTTTTGCCTTACCAAACCTCTCCTGGTTTTGCCCAATTGTGAACAGAATTTGAACTAATGCTGCAATATGTTAAGGAAATAACCAAAACCAGATAAAAATGCATAAGAAGCATTCAGATAAGAGCTTCATGCTTCTCTTTCTGTCATTACTACATGCAAATTTCAAAAGGGCATGGAGAATTTGGGCCTTTAACTCCTTCCAAAAAGCAAAAAGAAGCAGGCATCTTCACTGCCAGCACAGTTAAAGATCCCAGGCTCTGAGTGTATTAGTGCATGTTATGCATGTACCAAATGAACTAATAACAGTGTGATTTCAATGACTCTTTGGATCATAAACCTTTTCTCTTTATAACCTTAACAACGCATAGACAGCCCATAAAACGTCTGACAATACTCTATAAAAACCAGAGAGCTGCAAAAACATCAACTGGTAAAAAATCTCATCTGCTGAAGTACAAAGGCCAACCCCTCTCATTTCTCCTGCTCCCTTCCTACTTGCAGACTGCCACAAATACTGATGTTATTGCTGTTGTCGTCTACCTCCATTCGTATCCCGAAACTCATTAATTCCATCCACATCTTCCAGTGGCCAGTAGTGGGAAGCTGATGCGAGAACTTTGAACCCTTTCAAGAAACACAGATGAAAAGATTATTAAAGTAAGGCCCAACAAGGAACATAACAAGTGTTCACAGGAGAGAACAATAAAGGAGTTAAATAATTAAAGTAAAACAAGATACTTCATGTAAATCAAGTATTACACATAAGCAAGACCGTAAATCAAAATGGCAGAGATTTAAGTTATATCTGGTTGACCACTAAAGAAAAGCTGGTTTTAAAACTCCACTGATCTTCATTCTAATTGCACTTAAGATCTGTAACAATCTCTAAGTCTCTGCTGGCGTATCAGGCATTATTCATTGGAGTGACAGTTGAGAAGTCATTCCAGAGTCATGTCAAGGCTTTACTGGGATTTTAAACACATTGCAGATAGCACAAGGCACTGAATGCATGGTTCAGTTTCTGTAGCTCACTGCTTCCACTCTTGCCTCCTCTCCATAGGGTCACTCAGCTCTCTGCAATTCAAAGTAGGAAGAGATGCTAGGGAGTTCCCAGGAATCTTATCCTCTTCCCAAAACTCGCTGGGAAACCAGTGCAACACCTGCAGGCTACGTTCATCCAAGTGTTTCCTTCACCTTTGGTTTCTGTGCAGACCCAGCCAGCAGCACTCGGTGTTACCGAGCACACAGCTGTGACCACACAGTCCACTCATCTCCATGTCTGCAAACAACTCGTACCCTAACACTGTCCCACAGCAGGACTACACCCTTTAACAGAGGAATTTGACCTTCCTCAAGAGAACGGGGTCCCGAATATGAAGGAACATAGGGACCAGTTCACTCCTCCCCATACATCAGCTATTCCTTCAGGACCTTCTCCAAACCCACACCAATTCCTTGTGGCTGATGGGAACGGTTTGCTTTCCTAAATGTCCTCCTCGGAGGCAGGTGGACAAGCTGACAAAGCAAAATATCCACTAAATTTACCAGCACAGTCCAATCGATGAGCTTGAACAGATTTTAGAAGATGCGACCACTCAGACCTGACCGGGAACGGGCTGCCCAAAGCAATACAATTTTGTGCTAACAATCCTATTTGAAGCGTAGAGCATTAATAATGTAGGAAAACATGAACTGCAAATTCTTATTATTTTGTCAGCCGCAAGAAACGCTTTATTCTCACAATAATCAAGTTAATCAGCTGTACTGAAGTACATTTATAATCTCCTATAGCTAAGCAAGCTTTAGAAGGCTGATACAGATATACAGAATGGATGCAAAGAAGAATACTGTGTTCACCATTACAGCATATCACTCCAGTTAGTTTGAGTTAAAAGGGGGGAGGCAGTGGGTGTGAGGACTGGGATAATGGATGACAGGGACCATGAGATTATGGATTTACGTTACATCCTATCTATCCATAGTTCTTTGCCCTACCATCCGTTTTCATTCTCAATTTTTCAAGAACCTGAGGAGTGAAGCTGATGGAGATAAGTTTCTTAAAAACTATTTCAGTTGTCACACACCATAGAAAAGCTCCCCACAACTATGTGCAAATGAAAACCAAATCCAAAAACCATTGACATTTACAGTCTATCTCACACCTTTCTTTACTCTTGAGATCAAAACAGCTTGTCTATTTGATAATTATTCTATCATTTTAACATCATGGATACAAACAGGATTTCATTATCGTGGATATGAAGGTGTGAAAATGTTGTTTGCATCCTTAAACCACCTTGTATACACAGCACAGATCAGTTTGATGTCCTCTATCCTCAGGGCAGCGTCAGAACCGTGACACAGAGCAGATCCCAAGAGTTCTTTACCAAGAGCACAGAGGTAAAACTGCTCAACACCACAACACGCAGTTGTAGATCTGAGGGCGCAGACCTAAAGAGCTCTGCGTCTTTTGAGGGTACACTGGCTACTCAGACTTGCTTCCAAACTCAAGTATACCATGGATATAACAGTTCATAATTGATCAGGTTCTACAAACAGTTCATAATTGATCAGGATCCACAAACGGTTCATAATTGAGCAGGATCTATTATTGGCCTACCCAACTAGAAACGTTTGCAGTTGCAGAGAGCGAGCATGAGTATGCATAGATGAATGGGGATGTCTTTAGGCAAACGGATGAGATTCTACAGCAAGATGTTTCCTGGGAATATTGGGAAGATACAGAGAAAGGCACAACTGCTAACAAAAGGAGAAAACCATGGCCAGCATAAGAGAATAACAACACGGAATAAGTACATACAAAATCAGTCTGAAAATTCCAGGCAACCCAAACTCAACCAAGATGAGCGTGGCAAAGCCCACTGAGGAAATGGGACATAGAAACAAGGATTTTGCATAAACTAACTCTGGGTACTTAGTTCTTTCTTCAAAGAACATAATTTGACTGCTGCAAATAAATGAAAGTTATTAATTTCTATGGTATTGAAAGCATCCACACACAGAACAAGTGCTAATGCACCTCCATCAAATTGCCAGTTCCGTTTTGCCGACTACAGAACACGTCTGCTGCTTCACAGAGTGCTTATGTGCAAATCTCTTTGCTCCCATTAAGATCTCCCTTTAGTATCAGAGGGAAAATAAAAGGATTAAAGTAAGGAAGGGTGATAGAAAATAAAAAAATAGAGAAAAAATAAAATAAAACAAACAAACCAAAAAACCCAACCAAAAATCCCATGAGAAAATTGTTTTATTGCAAAAACCCTGTGTCACAACGTGGCACCAGTTCTTTAGCAGTAGTAGCAGCACTGTGACAAAGGCATTGCCATGGTTGGCAAACTCCCTATAAGGAGAAGCTGTATTCTAAGGAGCTTACATTTAAAGCTGGGAAAGAATGGGAAAAACACTGGAGAAGTCAATAGACACACAGGAAAGTGCTTGGCTTAGTGCAGCGCTGCATCCTGGTGTCTTTCTCAGCTCCATAAAGCCATGCTGTCACCCCACTGCCAGCCAAGCAGCCCTGACAAGACCCTGGAAACCAATACCTGGTGCTGTGAATTCACCTGGCACTTGCAATATCCTCCAATAGGTAACAAAGCTACAGGACCTGTTCACAGCCTCCTTCAGCCCCAAAGCTTTGCTCGCAGCTCTGCTTCCCCACTCACTCTGTGTCCCCATACAAAATCAGTGTTCTGTAACTTGTCCCTTACTGTAGGAAGGGTTTTGCCCCACACTGATCCATCACTTAAAAGCCAGTGGAAATGAGACCATTTCTTTGGTTTTGAGTGAAGGTAGAACAAAAGACACTGATGGGGCTGAAGCCACTGCAACAGCAGACAACGTGGCTTTTCCACCCTGCCCTCTATTTTATTTTGAAAATAATTACATATGGTTAAAACTTAAAAGCACAAAGCAATACATGACTTGGTAAAGCGGTAAAATTGTACTTGCACACCACCATGAGGCTTGAGGTTAAACTATTTATATAAACAGAAGAATTCTGCAGTTACACACACAGACCCCAAATCAGCTTGGAGTAAGGTTTTATCCTGCATTGAAAACAGATGAGAAACCCTTAATGTGCCCTATAACCAATTCAAACTTCAGCATGAAGGCTGGGAGCAGGGTAGACGGCTCGAAGCTGTGCCAAAGTACTGCTAAGTATCCAAGCCAGCATATCTAACTATAAATCAATGAATTGAAAGTGCTGAACACCGACTGAGAAAAAGAAAATGGTCTGTGTAGAGCTCTGATTCAGAAACTCATGCTTAAAAAAGTAGTAATAAACAAACAGAGTATATAGGATTTCTCTACACAGCAAATACAACCCATTTTTATGAAGAATATTTAGTAGGAAGGTTACTGAGTTTAAAATGACTGGGACAATCTGATACTTTACGTTTCTAATACAGAGCTTACGTTCAAACTCAGTACCGCAGTTTCTTTGGAGCTACCAAGAAAATGTAAAATACAAACCAAAACTGCAAATAAACATTTATGCACATTGCCATAAAACGTCAACGGAACATTTCTTACCTGGGTGCTTGGGTAGCTGGGAATAGTTTCCATATACCTGCACAGAAAACATTACAGAATGAGACACAGAGAGGCTAAACTTGCCAAGAGGAGTCCAAATACATCCCAATACTGACCACACTTAGAGCATTACCTGATATTTGTACTGAAATAAAATCAGAAAAGAATAATGACAACAGAGCAGAGACAATAAACTCTCCATGGTCTGTTTAAGGTTAAAAGTACAGCCAAAGCCAAATTCCCGTCAGGTCTCAATCATAAGTTCTCCTTCGCTCCTGTTTGTATTAAAAGGGACATTTTCCACGCAGGTTCAAAAAGTCCGTTTGGTGATGGCAAAATATCCTTCCAGACCCTCTGAGCAGTGTTTGCTTGCTTCACACTTTGAGCTCTTCATTTAGCTACAGATAAATCACCGTGGCTGGAGGAAAACTAAAAGAAACGCACATCAGATCCAAAAGTTGTACTGGTCCATGGAAAGAAGTCAAGTATTTTTCTTTTACAACCTGAGCCAGAAAGAAAAGATCCTGTTTTCAACTTTCTTCCTACGGTTCTCTTTTCCTCTCAATTACTTTCATGCTGTCAGAGATCTGGAGCCAGTTGCAGCTTTGCGAGCAAGAAAATGCACTTCCTTATAGCACGCAGGGTATAAAACTCTCCCTGTTTCCTCAGAAACAGCTGGAAAAAGAGAGCTGCTAACTCCTCGCTTGTCCAGCTCACGTTTGCACCTCCATCCCCGGTCGTTTTGGGTGGAGAGCGGGTCTGGGTGATGTCACGCTTGCTTCCCAAACTTTGTCCCATTCTGGTTCTCTATTTATATCACGGTGCTGCTGTCTCCTTTCTGGGTCCTAACACCAGCCAGCTGGGAACAAGTGGGAAGAAGTCGCCGTGCTCCGGCACACAGATACAGAGATCACTGCTAACAGCAATCTGCACGTTTAAAGAAGGGTCAAAGCCAGAAAAAGTGCTCATAACTCAAATAATTAACCAAAATAAAACAGGGTTTGGACAGAGATTTGCACAGGAAAGCTGAGATCTGTTTACTAAAATACATATAACATATTTCTGTCTAAAGAAGCAGGACCTTTAACGACAAAACTGATTTAAGCCACATCACACTCTGAAGGATTAATTTTACTGTGTCTCCATCAAGAAGGGGAAACTGAGGCACTGGGAATCTCACTGATTTATTCAAAGCTGCACAATAAAACTAGTAAAAGAACTAGGGAAATACTTCTATAGTTACCACTTTTAATTCTTTTTAATAAAAAAAATTACATTTAAGTATTTTTGTAAAAGCCTCCTAATTACACTCTCAACTACGCCACAAATATTAACCACCATTTAATACATGAACGAAAAGCAGCAGCTAAATCTGGCTGACACTCTTCATTTACTCTGCTCCTTTATGGTGAAATCTTTCCAGTTCCCTCTAAATTCTTCTTTATTCTCAGTGAAATTAACTGAAAAAGTAATATTTTAAATAAAATTTGATAATCTTTCTATCCCTGCTCATCTCTCTCCTGCATTTCCTTATCAACCCCTTCTTTACCTTCAGATGAGCCACTTAAGGCTTAGATCATCTTTCCATCCCCAGATGGTTATCCACAGAGCAGAACATTCTGTGCCCAAAATCACTGGATGCACAAGACCATGAACAGTAGAGGAGTGGCCATGCCCCTGTCCTTACCTCCATGCCTTTCAGGGTATCAGCCCTCTTTTATTTGTCTACTTCTTAATCACAACTTCTGCACCCAAATCTTTGCTAAAGTTCATTCTAACTCCTACAATAAAGCAGCTTTTCACTGATATATAGAGATTATGTAGTGGGAAGCCCAGCACATTTGGTCATAGCCGTGGCCCTGATTTACCCGGCTGGCTCCCCATTGAGCGTCCAAAGCCTGTGGTGTTAACTGGGTCCTAGCAGATGAATAGTGAGTAGGTGGGACTGACGGACGGAGGAGATCAAAACTCATTTTGGAAACCTTAAGGCTGCATGAATGCTTCAATGTTAGCCAAGTTTAATATTACAAAATTTTGGTATTGAAATGCAGTGCATATTTTGTTTGTAATCCTGATTTAGGACCTTCCACAAAAGAATTTTGAAAACTCTGAATTTCAGCTCCTACAAATTTTTAGCTTAGTTATAACCAGTCTGACTCTTGCTTCTTTCCCTTTAGATTTCCTTAGACCTCTTCCTCCATTCCTGTTAACCACAAACTCCTCTACATCCTGAAGGAAGAGGAGGAATTCTGCATCACATACTAACAAGCAGAGCCACCCTCACAAATAGGGAAGAGCTGCAGCTAAACGTCCTGAGAAAAGCTAAAATGCAAGAAGAGAAAGGCAGGAATTTGAAATATTTGCCAAGAGAGGCCTGTCAAGGGAAAGAATAATGCTTACCAAAACAATTGTGAGAATCCAAGCAAACACGTTCGCTGCCAGAAATTTTTGTGGAAGCAGCAAATTGCAAGCAGACATCGTAGATTATTTGCAGAAACAAATTCTGAATTTACTGCTGTGATCCTTCGGAAACCTGATTCGACGAGCCACACCGCTTGCACCGCAGAGCAGAGGCGGCACCGGGCATCTTGCGTGCAAACCAGAGCGACCGCAGACAAACAACCAGCGCGGATTGCTCTGGAAGAACCTGCGGGTGAAACTGTGTTCGTTTAAAGCACTTGCACATCAATAAAAGCACAAAGGTCTGCGGATGCTGGGTAACTGGGCAGCCCCTGCTGAGCCCGCTGCAGAGGTTTCTCCCCAGAGCAGTTCTGCCACCCTGGGGCCCTGCTACGAGAGCGGGGAAGGAGAAAGCTGTGACCCCCATATTGCAGCACTGGGGGGTCTGTGCAAGGCACCCAGGTCTGCTGTCCCACTTCAGCAGAGAGGAGCTGCTCTGCAGCTCGGGCATTTGCTGATGGGTACCCAAAACAGCACAGAAAGCCTGATGATCTGCAGCAACAACCATGGGCTTGTAATCAGCACTGAGAAGTTATGAGACCCAGGTTTCGCTCCTATTTTTCCTTTTCTACCACCATTTTTTTTTATGGGGTGGTAGACTTTCGAAGAGAAGGTTCACAAAAAGAAGTCAATCATTATGATATATGTTGAAGAAGTCGGCTGCGGTGCTTTCACAGCAGTGAGAGTGTGACCTGCCATGCAATAATTAAAGTTAACTTTCACTTTCAGCTTTCCTTCTTCACCTCATGCCCATTCAGGATGATTGTATTATTGGAACAAAACTAGCAAATGCTATAGCCAACATTTGCTGGGAAATGAAAAATAGCCTGAAGTTAAAAACCTTTATTGCTGACTATGTAAATATAGGCACAGAAATTGATCCTTTAAAGAACGTTTTACACTGCAGAAGACAAACAATTGTATTGTAGTTTTCTTCCTTTAATTTCACTGAAATCATTAACTTACCACAAGAGAGCTGGTGCACGATTGGGATTGAAATGCTTTAACAAATGCCTTAGAAAGGAGTATGTAAGAATAAACCTAACAGCCAGGTTTTGTAAAACTGCTCTAATACCAGTAAATATTCTGGATTAAAATGACTCCCTGGTCAAGCTACTTCTCTGCCAGTAACAGAAGTTATTTACAAGGTGGTTACGGCTGATACCTCACCACCCAACTGCTTAGATTTGCAATTTTAGTGCTATTTCTGGCTTATCATGGACAGCGAAGGTAAGCAGTTATAGAACTGATTTTATTTAACTTCACTTACACAAAAAACCCCCAACCCATAGTTTTGTAAACTAATTCAGCTGTCCTTTGCTATAGGGAACACCCAGGACAACTCTACCAGCTCAGATGTACATAGGTGCAGCTTGATTAGATGTGCACATCTGCAAGCAACCAGAACGTCTTGTGCAAAACTCATCGCTTCTCAATTTACACCTTGGTACCAGCACAGTTCTTTTTATAATGATATAAACTATTTACTTTCCAAAGCAGAAGCAGTTTCACAGATAAAGAGGTCACCTCTAACAGAGTTTATTACCTTTTCTTTAGTTTTATTCAAAGGCTGTGGGTATCAGCATCTCCAACACAGGCTCAAAGCTGCATCTTCCATGCAGCAGAGCAGGAGCCGAGTGACAAGCCATGAAGTACAGAGGAGACTGGTTACATGAAAAGAATCAAATGTGGTTTTCACTTACTGCAGAGGAGCAGTAAGAGATAACAAGGATGGGTGTTAATGTCAAACACTGCAGGGGTGAAGGACAAAAAGGGCTGTGCAATCTCCATTATGGAGACTGGACACTTGTCAGAGCTACTACAAAACAGTCTTATCTTGCAACATGAGACTGAGCTAAGTCAGTTATTTTGGTCCATTCCAACTGCATTTTGCCATGACTCCGAGACTGATGCATCTGTATATTTTCCTTTCCCCCCCTATAGTCAAACAACGTTAACTTTGGCTAGTTATCAACACTAAGATGCAGTGCAAATCCTGAAACAAATTTGAATTTGCAATACGTAGCAAAAAAAATTATATCCAAGGCCGTATAAAGAACAATTTTAATGAAGTAAGAATAAAAGCAAGACCTTCTAGACCTCATGGGAAAGATTATGTATAAAGACTTTGTACAGGCTATACAAGCTAGCGCTGCCTTTGACAGAATGCATGGTATGGGAGGGACACAGAGGTTTCACTAGCGTGAGAAATAGCTATAAATACATACAAATAAATGCATCTGTGTTACTGTGATTAAAGTAGGATGATGTTACAAGCTGCTTCATGAGCTCTTAACCAGCCCCCAGCTCTGCACAAAACGGGGCTCCTCAGATCAGCAATGAGCCACAAAAGCTGTGGAAAAAGCAGGATTTCAGGCACTGCAGCTCTTATTTGCACAAATCCATCTAAGAAAAGACAAAGGGCGGCAGTGGCCATTGCATGACTCTGGTCCCTAGGACACAGCAAACAGTAAAAGGCATTTTTTGCAGAAATCAGTCGGAAAGCGGAGCAGTAAGGAAAATATGGCAGGAAATTTTCTTGGAGGGAATTGCACCGAGAAAGGACAAACTGAACAGTTCAGATCGAAGAAAGAGCAAACAAACAAAAGAGCTGGAGCTAATTCAACAGAGCTAACGCTATCATGGAAAAATATTTTTCTAATTAAGAAAATGAGAAGTTGGTCGTCCATGCCAGAAAACAAAATACAGCTTTTTGGCGATAATATTTAGGCCTAATCAGAT